TACTGTTAACAATGTTGGATAATAGGTTTATTTTTAATATTAACAATTTTAAAGACATTTTTACTTATTTTGACAGATAAGTTGTTAGTCGACATTTTTTTTATTATCAAATGCATCATTAACTTAATTTCAGCTACAATACTTTTATTTTTATTTTAAAATTCAACTTAAGTATTGAAAATGTGTTTTTAAGTACGTATACCTAAAAAATATTTAAATTCATCTAAATCAATCATTTTTAATTCTAATGCTTTCGTTAATATTCAGCTATCTTTACATAGTTTTAGGAACTTTGTGAGAAAAGAATAGTCAAATTAAATAAATTAATTTTTACTTTGCCGCATCAGCCTCTTTTATTTTTTTATTGCTCTAATATTTGATTTGTTACCTTTATATTCTAACTTTTCCTCTGTTACCAAAGATAAATTAGGTTTTATTATTTATCACATTTCCAATTTTTGAAGAAGTAAAAAATTGAAAAAGAAAAAAAAGAGAGGAGGGGTGGGCAGATGAGAGGGAACTACTGGTGGTGGTGAATGAAAAGTACAACTGGACCCACTTATTCAAGTGTCAAAAATTAAATTTCATTACTATTTTTGAAATTTTCTCTTCAAAAAATGTGCTAAGTTTTGCGGTGTTGACCGTCTACAATGTTTTAATTGGATAAACATTGCCAGATAAATTTGTCAAAATTAAAATGAAACAAAATATTTTTCACTATAGAAAGGACAAAAAAATAAAATTACTCAAACAAATTGAAACAAATAAAGTATAAATTAAATGATACTATGTTAATTTCAATTAAATAAATAAATTGATTTTTATTTGATTGGAATTCTAATTTTTAAAATTGATAAATTTGATTTGATTTTGATTTTGTTTCAAAAATAAAAAAAAATATTCAAACCAAACCTATAATTATATACATAACTTTTTTTTATAATTATATATACCTAAAATATTATTTTTTATGAAAAGTTTTAGTAGTCATATTTATGTCATCATTAAAATTCATTTAAGAAATCAAAAATAGCTAAAGGACCACTTTTTTATTTTTAAAAATCAAACACTTAACATGTATATAATAATGATTTAATGTAATAAGTACTTACCTTTTTTAAATTTAGTAGCAAATTTAAAACTCATGATATAAATTTATTTCTTACACAATTAATACATTCCACCTGTAATCTATCTTTGAAGGTGTGGAATTTGGATTTACGAACCTTCATGGAAATTGTGCATCGCCCATTAAGAAGAGCATGAAAAAATGTGATTTTTTTTTTTGTTAAAATATTGAATATGTAAATTTTTTTGTTTCTATTATATAGAAACGAACAAGGGGTCCTCCACATTGAATGTTCCAATTTGATTGATTCATGCAATCTAAGATACCATCATTGTTGTGCATGTATGACACACTAAAAAGTGAACATGATTTATCTCTCTCGTGTGAATTATGATATTATTGATCTATTTCAAGTGTACTCACTTTTCATCTTTTAGTTTACTCAATCTCTTTACCAAAACATTAATTTATAAGAGCCTTTTTTGGTGATAATCACCTACTTATATCATGTAACATGCTGAAATGATCGAGTATTTGTTTTAATCGGATAGTGTAGGATTTTGTTTGCATTTTTTACATTATTTTTTATCGAATTTAAAATTTGATTGTGTTAAAAGGTTAGTAAATATATTATTTTTAAAAGAGAAAATACATAAAATACCCCCAAACTTGTCTGCATAATTTAGTTTAGCCATGCAACTTTACGGACGTTTTTTTATCCCCCTAATGTAATTCCATTTGAATTAAATTACCCCCTAAAAAATAACGTGGCAAGATTTGTATCATCAATTTTCTACAGGCGCGTGAAGGTGGAAAAGAAAAAAAAGTTGTTTCAAACTATGCACGTGCCCATCTTCTCATAGGATGACAAAATAAATTAATTACTCCATATTTTACTATTTCTAAAAATATTTTTCTTTTTATTCAAAATTTCTCATTCTTTTATCTATTTTTTCCTACTTTTTCTACTTTCATCTTTTTTCTTCTTTTTCAGTCCATCGCACCCAGTTGCAATAGAGCATTTTTTTTCAAATGTCAATAGTTTTCTTCTTCTTTTCGTTTCTCCATTTTAATCTTTTCTTTGTTTTTGTGTTCTTCTTTGACAAGAAACTTGATGTTCAGTTCTTCGACATTATTTTCGATGACTTATTTTCGACATCAAGAAAGTGTCAAATCATCCGTTAAAGAAGTCAACAAAAAATAGATCATAAAATCTTCACCCAACTTACAAAAAAACTAATATCTTATGGAAAGAATATTTTCGATCTTTAAAAGAGGGGGTTGAGGAGTAGCTGAAATCATAATTGGAATTGAAGAAAAGTTTTTATAGACTTTGTTGTTATTTCATGTAAGGAGAAAAGTTGAAAAACAAAGTTGCAAAGGTTGTTCGGATTTCCCTTTGAAAATGAGAAAATGAGAAGGTGTGAACTTGAGGACTAACAATGGGGAAAATTCAGTTATTTAGGGAATTTTAATAATCAATTAGAGATTAATTTATGAAACTATAATTAATAAAAAAAACTAAGAATAATTAAGAAGGAAAAGTTGAATGAAGACTATCCATGTCTCTATGGCCAGCATTTGCATTTTTTATTTTTTTTTTCTTTTTTTTCAATTTTAATTGCATTTTATAATTTATGCTATTAACCTATTAATTAATATAAGTCTCAAAAAAAATATAGCACTCAAACCATTTGCAACAATCAAATACCTTTGTAACAAAGCTCAGGTAACTGTTTTTGTCTTAATCGACCCATTATGACAAGTTGACATTTATTTGCAACAAAAATTTCAATTATCCTTAATTATCATTATACAAATCTTTCATATTCCTAGCAGTAAAAGGTTTCCTATGAATGATACACCGATCATCACAAGTGAGGAGCATAGGAGCATGATCAGAGCCAGTCCTAGGCAGATGATCAACTTCGGAGTGTGAAAAACTATTCTGAAATTCTAAATTGGTCAGAATTCTATCGAGTCTTTCAAAGATGCAATCATTTCCAACCCTTCCATTCCACCAAGTAAATGGACTTCCTTTAAACTTCACTTGAGCTAGATCACAGGATTCAATACATTTTTTGAAGTCTTCACAATCTGCATCTCTCACAGGAAGTCCCCCTATCTTCTCTTTTGAATTAAGCATCACATTGAAATCACCCCCTATAATTCATGGTTTGTCCATCGACTTATTGTCCAAAGTTTCTCTTTTTTAATCGGCTATTTGAGTCCATACTCTTTATGCACAATAATGTGTCATTTTTATCAACAGTTCGAGTTTACGTCCAATCATCAGCAATTCTAGTCCTTCACTTTTTGTTGTCTAAAATGTGGAACAATTTATTTAAAAGGCAATTTGAGATCTTCAAATTTATGCACAATGTGTCATTTTCATCTGAAATTTGAGTCTTCAACTTTATGCCAAAAACGTATCATTTTCATCAGCAATTCGAATCCTTTGACTTCATCTTTCTAAAATGTACTACTTTCGTTTCAAAAAGAATGATTTATTACTTTTTAAATTTGTTTCAAAAAAACGCTCTTTCTTTATTTCTGACAATATTTTAATTTCAACTTTCTACTTGATATGTTTAAGGCCACATGATTAAATCACGTTTTGATACATTTGACATAACTTTAAATTAGAACCATAAAATTGAAAAGATTTATATTTAATTTCTTAGGATGTATCATTTTGATGGGCAATTCGAGGCTTCCGACTCTATAATGTCTTAAACGTACGTGTCAATTTCATCAGTATAAACTATTCATAACACCTTATATAAAAAATTGATTTGATGTATTTTTTACTGGCTAAAGTAGTTAGCAAGATTATTTTATAGGATGAACGCCTTTTTTGAATATTAAAATTTGTCATGTGACTCATTGACCCTCATTACTCATTATAGATAACGAAAATCAATTACTATATATTTTTGCTTCCTACTTTAATTTAGTATAATAACGTTGAGTATATTTAATTTAATCGTCTGATTTTCCTTTTGTTTATACGCCCAAACTCGCTCAATGATTAGAATAATTAGTTATCAACTAGACTAGATGAATATATAAATAAAAAAAATATATTTGTTCTGCGAATTGTGGTTGAAAGAGAGAACATAGTCATTGGACAACCTTTTGCATACTAGAGCCGGAATCAGAATTCTCACTAAAAGGATTTTAACATTCTGAAGAATAAAAACTCAACAAGAGTAAGATGCAATACATAAAAATAATTTCAATCTTATATATACAATGTAATTTTTATGACTCCAGTATCCGTGTAGGGTAAAATTGTGGTCCAATATTGCAACTTTAATCTTCAGTATCTATTGCAAAACTAAACTCTAGTACACATGAGTTGCCCCTCTTTTATTTTACTAGTTCTCTTGGAGACCTTATTATCAAATAGGAATGCTCAAGCAAAGGCAAAACACTGATTACAATAGAAAACATGGAATTAGCTAATTGAACTTTTATATAATCTAAACACAATTCATAGCAAAATGAGATTAACATGAAATTTTTATTGTTGAGCTGCAAAGTTTTGTACATAGCTAATTCCATGTTTTCTTGTAGTATTATCAAAAATAAATATGAGAGAAAAGAGGAGAAGGTCAAACATGTACACACAAAAAATGAAGAGAAAATAAAATAAGGAAAAGGAAAAATCAAACGTAAATTGGAACTCATGAATTTACGATAACGCCAGTTAATTTGTTCAGTGAGTAGTGTTTTATTTAGCAACTGAGTTGCAGAATATAATACTGAAATGGAATAGAGAATGGGGCAACTGACTTGCAGAATATATAGTGATACTTTCAACGTTTTACCTACGTTGGATTTCACTTATTTGACAACAAATCCACAAATATTCATTACATTGCAAGATCTTCTCATGTTTTATAAAGTTTGTAATCAGTCAAATCATAATTCCAGTAATTAAAATGGTCCAAATTTCTGTCTGGTCTTCTAAGCTAAGAAGGGTGAGAAGCGAGGATCAGTCAGATGAGGAAGACCAGCTCTTGCTCCCAAGGCGCTGCACCCAATAGCTGCCTGCAAACCAATCCACAAATTAATTTCTCTTCAGATATTGTCTAAAATAATATGACAGTTTATTGCACTAAACTCCTTTTATATGCAAAATTTCGAGAATAGTGAACTACATAAAGTCTAATATGGATCGATAGTTTTATCCTGTATTTTTCTTGAACCCGTGATCTCCGATTTCTATAGAACCTAGTACTAAAATATCCTCTAGGGGATAAGGCTAAGTGAAACAAAAAGGGCTTTCCATGAGATGGGGAAATGAACACTATTGTCCCCATTCAAAGCTTGAATAAGTGATTGTTCTGATAATGAGCAAGGAATATCCATCTTTATGCTAAAAAGGATGGATTGAACTCATAATTCATTAGATATTTTTTTATGAATGACAACTAAGTATCGCAAGCAAAATTGCTCCTAGTTGTTCAAACATTTGACAATCAGAGTGATAAATGATTCATGGCTAAGGCGGAGTTGTGATTTAAGTTTTATAGGTTCTTAGTATTGAACCTATTATATCTTTAAAGTTATGGGTTCATATACTATTTCTTGCAATTTACGTCCAAAGTACTAGGTTTAGATGAACACGATACAGTATGTTACATCCGCTCTTGTTTACAGTGTTTAACTTTTACCATTTCAGTAATGGAACCCTTCCTCTATAATTTAAGCCCTACATTAAAATTAAGTATATTTCATGTTTACTTACCACTTGCGAAGCAAACATCAGCATCTTTTCAGGTGGGAAATTAGCACAGAGAGCTGCAAATACATCAAGGAAAACCATGAGACAAAGACATAAATAACAACACATAACAGCATGATCTAGTCGCTTGATACTCGCCTACTAAATGAACCAAGACGGACATCATGGAAGCATAATTGAAACAGGAATTGTTAGGACACTTTAAATCCCTAGCAGCAACAAGCATAGGGAGAACAGCGGAGATGCCACACTGCGTTTGACAAAAGACACATAGTATACTAATTATACTATAATTTCACGTACAATAAAGAACTGCTCCAACAAATGCATCTCCAGCACCAGTTGTATCAACTATCTCCGAGGATGGTATCTTTTCAGCTGTTCCCACGAGCAGCCTACCACACACAGTCCCAATCCCTTTCGCGTGCAGCTTTGCAACATCCTGGAAGAAAACATATATTTTGAGCTAAGTTATCAAATACCAAATAATGTTTTTACTACTCTAGCTTAAATTTCTTTAGAAGCATCAAGAGATCTATTATAAAAATCCAAGTTTGCTAATCTGAAAGCGATAAATTACATGAATACTCAAATACAGGAGGGGACTATTCATCTTTAACCTACAAGAGATGCACATTAAGAAAACATTTCACACATGTTTCAACCCAAATAGAATCTCCATATATAAGCAATTGACTTTTGAAACTGATGAAGTACAAGAACAAAGCTCCAAACACTTCTTATGTGCCTGGATATACTTAAATAAAGTCCTATAGTTTCCATCCTACGGTGTAAACAATGTCTAACTACAAGGTAGAAATTGACTTTTATGTGCATTACCATCAAACTTTCTTTCTGCATTGAGCAAGAAAATCTCACAACTGAAGGGCAAACTACGTACCGAGGTTTTGCATGTTGGCAGGGTTGAGGTAGTATCAATACTCTGCTTCATTTTTTCAAACAAGTCATCAATATCAACTTCTTCAGGCTGGATATCCCCTGCAAATATACTAAATCCATGTTATGAATCAAAGGCTGATTCTATGTCTATCAGAACACTTCATTTGCCAAGATGAAGTACTCAAAGTATTTTTCGTGCCAAGAAGCAGCATGTTAGCATACCAGTTTCTGCTCTTTCTAGCATTATGCAGCCATCTTCTCCCAATGTAGCAATTATAAATTTGGCACTTGGCAACTTTAAAAGCATGGATATTAGTCCACCTGCTATAGAAGGAGCCTCGGTCCATATCTGAGAGACAATACGGCTTTATTCAATTTTCACATGCTTAACTTATGAAAGACTGTAAGGGGCCTTCGATCATGGAACCGGGACGCAAAGGATGACATTCACTTCTATTGGATATTATACCAAAATCAATTCTATTCCATGATTACATGGTATAAAAATGGAAAAAAGATATTCCATTCACAACAATTGCTATAAACATTTTGGACAAACACATCACTAGAAGAGAGAAAGTATGACAAATTTAATTTTCCAAACAAACTAAAACTTGCCAACCGATACTAATCTTATATAGTAGATCCATGGAAGTCCAATCAAAATGTGCAACAAATAAATCATTGAAAGTCAGTCTACCAGAGTAAATACTAAATACCTTACCTGTGGAAATCTTGTGGAGCAAACAATGTAGGTTGCCAAGTGTAGAAGTTCATCCAACCCTTCTATTTTACTTTCTGCATCAATCACAATAGGTATACTCCTTTGATGTGCCTACGCTAGAGATCAAAAGGCAGACAATTTTTTCCATTTAGCTGAAAATAATCAGCAAGTCCTGAGGCATTAGGAACAAAAGCTAGAAACAGAATTATGTCCAGTGCTCTTGGTCTGCCGGAGCTTAGTGGAAGACTAGAAATATGATCAGAGGTTGATTGTAAATACATTCTATTAGCAAGCAGAAGCTCGAATTAAATAACAAGGAAGACCATTGAAAATTACCTCTTGGGTCACAACTAAAGCAGCTTCATGAAGTACTCCATCAGTATAGACAAGCCTCACACCATCCAATGCAGACGACAAACTCGAGTCTGGCAAATCATCAGCTACCATGGGTGGATACCCTGGTGTGTAGATGGAAGTTCGTGTTTTCCTGAGATACCATACAACAAAAATCAGCTTCAGCGGAACAAGTTACAGAACGATCATCTGTCCAATTATACGGACCAACATGCAGTAAAGATAGAAATGACCTTTTTTTCCCCTTGGACATATGGCAGAAAGAAATTTCGAACAGAAATGTAGCCAACATGCCATTTTTGTACTTTAGGAATTAGTAAAGAAGAGAGGGAAAAAAGAAGTCACAGGACATATTGCTTATGAATAAATACTTATCCACATTTGGAGTCTACTAGCATATAGCATATTCTAAAACGATGAATTCCGTGTGAATAGTTTTAATATTGTAGCTGATCTAGACATCTAATAGTAAATCGAATAGTAAATCAAAAGAATATGTCTACGAAATGAATTTGCAAAAACAGTAATCATAAATCATCCATCTCATCACCCAAGAGAAAGCTCAATAAATGCCTAAAAAACATTTACTAAAATGGCATTAAACAGAGTTAAGTACTGACGTTTGACTGTCAACAATGACATAAGAGATTGTTGAATGGCCCCCTTTGGACACCTGAAATATGTAACAATATGATGTTGAGAGGTAAATTTGATGCTTCAAAAATTTTAATTGACTGAATAGGCGCTCTGCAAGCTATATCATCCTCGCATACAAGAGATAAGTGTAAGATGCACAAAAACTTTCACAGTTAACCTGTGGCTGACTCACCACAATAAAAGATGTATCAATGCCATCAGCTTCTAGCTCGTTCAATATTCTTTTCCCTTGAGAGTCATCTGCGGCCTACTAAAAAAAATTTGTGGGAAATGTAGAGAATATTATTCACATAATTGTGGAAGGGTTGGACATGGATAGAAGAAGGGTTAACTAAGAAGAACATCAAGGAAGACAATCAATGATTCAACGGTGGCAGGAGCAGTAAAACAACAGAATCAAAGGTAGAGTATACACAAGACCTTACCACTACCTTGTGGGAAAGGCCTCGGAAATGGAAAAAAAGGAATAGGTAACAAGAATCCACGTAAAGTTCAGACCTTGGATATAATTCTCGGAGTTAAACCCAAACGAGCTGCACAAGTCATAGCGTTCCCAGTATTCCCACCTCCCTGAACCTATACAGAGCAAAATTATCCATTGAAATTCCAATTAAAAATATAAAAAAATATTGAGCTCATTCTTTCTTATTAATAGCAGATAAAAATCAATTAGACCTGAAAACTGGTGCTACGAATCTTATCATCAGGCTTAGGATAAGAATCAACAGTAACCAAGTAGTCCAATGCCACCATCCCACAACCCAACTGCTTCAACCACCCAACAAAAAAAGTTAAACCCCTCGTTTCAATTTGTTTGTCCGACTTTATTTTTGTCCATCTTATTCTTAAATTCCGTGTCAAGTGAAAATCAGACGAACAAATTGAAGCATAGCGAGTAATTAGATAAACCAAATCCAAGAAAATCATAAGAAGTGATAATCAACAGCTAATAAAGAGAACAAGATGAGTACACACAACAATGGTGTCAATTGATTTTGATGACGCAGATGGGGTTGAGTGAATCGACATTTTAACCATAAATTTTCTGCAGTATGAACAAAAAATTAGCTCAATTAACACAAAAATGGAAAGACCCAAGTTGGAGATTTTAAGAAATTAAAGTTGTTGTTGATTGTATGAAGAACCTGGAATAAGAAAGAGTGAAGTTTGTTGGAATGTGACATCTTGACGGCGGGAAAGTGTGTAACGCCCTCATATCTGGGAGATGAGCAACCAGGCTATCTTTTGGAAGTTGACCCTTCACAGATGCACACCAAAGTTGGAGACGGCAGTATAAAATTCTTTATCGTCTCAAACTCCAAGTTGCTGCGCTACTCAGCATAATACCATCAAGAAAAGATACATATATTTTTATTTAGAAAGTTAATATTTTTGATAAAGGTGAAATTCTATTTGTAATAAAATGATAAATTTATTTAGTTTGTCGTCTTATTTTTATGTGTATTTCAATGAATTTTTTATGTCAAATCTCAATGGTTAACTTGATAATTGAATTGATAAATTCATAATCAATACGTCAATATCTTAATAATTCTATAACAAATTAAATATTGTGTCAAATATAAAATAAAACGGAGAGTATACTATTGATGTTTATTTTTCGTGTTTGAATATAAAATTCTCTACCAAACCATCAACAAATTCAGATATTTAAAAACAGAAGTACAATGTAATATTAAAGATAATGGGCTGGACCAACTCATGTGGGCTTAGATTTTGTCAGTCCAAAATGTAGCTCAACCACAAGTCCCAAATCACTTGAAAGGCCTTATCAAGTATTATTACAAGCCTAATCACAAACTACAAAACATTCACGTGCGTACTAGAAAAGTAATTACTAAAATTGAGCAAGTGTGACAGTCCATGAAATTACACTGGATATGTTATGGTGGTTGTTGGTTCATTTAAATAATTCAGAAATTTACGATAAAGCTGATATAATTGTGCTTTGAGAAGTGTTAAGTATAAGATAGAGAGTGAGTAGAAAATGAAGGAAAATGGAGGGTAAAGAATAGATGAGTAAGATGCCAATGTGAGAGAACCAAATATATCTCCAACTATTTTAGCATGGTTTGAACAAGTTGTTGAAATGTTTTTGATCTGAGCATCGTACGCAAAAGAAAATATGAGGAAACTCACGATTGCTAAATACATTTTAATAGGGTGGATTTCAAAGGGGGACGTATTACTTGTTTGGTACTTGAGTTGGAGAACCTATGCAAGTATGACAATTAGTCATGTCAACAATTAGTCTGTCAGCAGTACATCATTAATTAATTTTACTATTAATTATTTTCACCAAATTTTTTTAACACTTTTTAAAATTAATCTACACTAATTAATTAATTAGAAATGCATTTTTCAAAATTAAAATTCAAAAATGTGGATCCATTTTTATTTTCCCCATACCCAGCCTCCACCCACACCTCACTTCTTTTTTCTTCCTTCATCTTCACCATTTCTAGCTGTCCTCATCATATTTTCCAACGAGCTCCACCACCCAAACTCCTTTCATCGTAACTCTCAAATCACCCCCAAAGCTCCATCACCAGATTCCCCAAAACCCCAACCAAACAATCAAACCATCACTTCGCCATCACTCTCTTCCTTAAAACACCATTAATAGTGAGCTTCGAAACTCTTAAATGGAGCAACAAAACAACAACAATCCGGCCCCACCTCCTGTTTCTCTTCCTTTCTTCATCTTATTCGGTGAACCTCCGACGCCGGAGAGATAAAACATATACCACCGCTGCCTCCGATCTGTCACCCTACGAATTCAAAAAGTGAAAAAATCGCTGATTTTGCCTTCGCAAAGTCCAACGAACCAGCAAATTTTTTAGCTCCAATGAAAATCGACAAAATTTATATGTATGAAATTGACGTCAATAATAAGATGTTGGTGTCGGGTTTTGTGAATTACTAAAGAGATGGTGAAATTGAAGTAGTTGATAGAGTTGAAGATGAAGATAGAGGAAAAAATGTTTCAATGGAGAAGAAGCTATATTCGGGAAGACAATAAAATAAAGAGAAAAAAAAATTAAAAATATGTGTGGGCAAATAAGAAAATTCATATAGTTTAATAAAAATTAATATATTAAGAAAATAATATTTAAAATATTAATTGTATATTGACCTATAAAAAAATGTCATGTGTATAATTTTATAATTTCTTTCCTTTTTAATTTTGTCACACGCTATTAGATGAGTGAACTTACTTTCTTTGCCACGTCATTCATTAGTATTACATTTAATTTACTTTAAAGATGTTAAGGGATATTTAAACACATGTATAATTTAAGTGCTAAAGAAGTTGTCCGACATAGTTCGGAGTTTTTATGGGTATAAAATAGTTACTTGTTTAATTTGCCCGACAAATTGTTCCATGTGGACCCCCATAATTTCAATTGTTTAATTAATAATCTTTGGTATTAGTATTGAATTTTGTACACTTTTCAGATGGTGGCCACCATTGGTGTGTTCTACTTCATTTTTAGCTCCATGCACTTCTCCCCATCAATATTCGGAGTCTAATCCTCTTTTCTTTGAGAGTGGGGTCAACTAAGTATGAAAAATATATAATAGATGGGAAAATATTATATCAAAATAATATTGCTAACAAACCGAAATACAGAGAAGGTTCAACTAGCTTGCATGTGGAAATCTTGTTGAGCAAACAATGTAGGTTGCCAAGTGTAAAAGCTCTTCCAACCCTTCTATTTTTCTTTCTGCATTAATCACAATTGGTATACTCTTTTGATGTGCCTGCACTAGAGATCAAAAGGAATACAGTTTTTTTTCCATTTAGCTGAAACATTCAGCAAGTCTGAGGCATTAGGAACAAAAGCTAGAAACAGAATTATGCCCAGTGCTCTCTGTCTGCCGGAGCTTAGTGGAAGACTAGAAATATGATCAGAAGTTGACTGTAAATACATTCTATTAGCAAGCAGAAGCTAGAATTAAATAGCAAGGAAGACCAATGAAAATTACCTCTTGGGCCACAACTAAAGCAGCTTCATGAAGTACTCCATCAGTATAGACAAGCCTCGCACCATCCAATGCAGACGACAAACTCGAGTATGGCAAATCATCAGCTACCATGGGTGGATATCCTGGTGTGTAGATGGAAGTTCGTGTTTTCCTAAGATATCATATAACAAGTATCAGCTTCAGCAGAACAAGTTACAGAACGATTATCTGTCCAATTATACGGACCAACATGCAGTAAAGATAGAACTGACCTTTTTTCCCCTTGGACATATGGCAGACAGGCCATATTTTTGTACTTGAGGAATTAGTAAACAAGAGGGGGGAAAACAAGTCACAGGACATATTGCTTATGAGTAAATACTAGTCTACAATTTGAGTCTACTAATACACTGGGTATGTTGTATTTTGAGTCTATTGCTCCCTCGGTTTCAATTTGTTTGTCTTACTTTCTTTTTTAGTCCATTTCAAAAAGAATGTGTCTTTCATTTTTTGGACAACTCTTCAATTCTAACTTTCTAATATGACATATTTAAGATGACAAGATTTAAGTCTTCTTTACTTTATAAAACTTCGTGTCAAGTCAAAACCAAACAAACAAATTGAAATGGAAGGAGTAATAAATAACATATTCTAAAACAATGAATTCCTTGTGTTAAGTTAAATATTGTTGTTGATCTAGATATCTAATTATAAATCAAATAGTATATCAAAAGAATATGTCTACGATATGAATTTGCAAAATCAGTACTCATAAATCATCCATCTCATCAGTCATCACCCGAGAGAAAGCTCAATAAATGCCTATAAAACATTTACTAAAATGGCATTAAACGGAGTTGAGTACTGACGTTTGACTGTCAACAATGACATAAGAGATTGTTGAATGACCCCCTTTGGACACCTGAAATATGTAACAATATGATGTTAAGAGGTAAATTTGATGCTTCAAAAATTTTAATTGACTGAATAGGCACTCTGCAAGCTACATTATCCTCGCATACAAGCGAAAAGTGCAAGATGCACAAAAACTCTCACAGTTAACCTGTGGCTGGCTACCACAATAAAAGATGTATCAATGTCATCATCTTCTAGCTCGTTCAATATTCTTTTTCCTTGAGAGTCATCCGCGACCTACTAAAAAAGTTTTTGTGGGAAATATAGAGAATATTATTTACATAATTGTGGAAGGGTTGGACATGGATAGAAGGGAAAACTAAGAATAACCTCCAGGAAGACAATCAATGATACAACGGTGGCAGGAGCAGTAAAGCAGCAGAATCAAAGGTAGAGTATTCAGACCTTGGATATAATTCTTGGAGTTAAACCCAAACGAGCTGCACAAGTCATAGCGTTTCCAGTATTCCCACCTCCCTGAACCTATACAGATCAAAATTATCCATTAAAATTCCAATTAAAAAACAACAAGTTGAGCTCATTCTTTCAGATTAATAGCATAGACAAATCAATTAGACCTGAAAGCTGGTGCTACGAATCTTATCATCAGGCTTAGGATAAGAATCAACAGTAACCAAGTAGTCCAATGCCACCATCCCACAACCCAACTGCTTCAACCACCCAAAAAAATAAAATTTAAACCCCTCGTTTCAATTTGTTTGTCCGACTTTATTTTTCTCCGTCTTATTCTTAAATTTCGCGTCAAGTCAAAATCAAACAAACAAATTGAAGCGGAGCAAGTAATTAGATAAACCAAATCCAAGAAAATCTTAAGAATTGATATTCAACAGCTAATAAAGAGGACTAGATGAGTACACACAACAATGGTATCAATTGGGATTGCTGACCCAGATGGGGTTGAATGAATCGACATTTTAACCATAAATTTTCTGCACTATGAACAAAATATTATCTCAATTAACACAAAAATGGAAAGACCCAAGTTGTAAATTTTAAGAAATTAAAGTTGCTGTTGATTGTATGAAGAACCTGGAATAAGAAAGAGGGAAAATTGTCGGAATGTAACATCTTGACGGCGGCGAAGTAGGTAATTTAAGGCGGGAGCCACCTGTAACAAAGTGTAACGCCCTCATATCTGGGGGGGGGGGGGGGGGGGGGGGTGAGCAACGAGGCTATCTTTTGGGAGTTGACCCTTTACAAATGCAGACCAAAGAGAGCCTCACCTAAAAGCTGCCCTTTGTTGTGTCATAATTTTCTTATCTTCAGAAAAATCACTTTTGAAATGTTCTAAGTATAAAAACAATTTGAGAAATACTTAGAAAGAGTCGCCACTTAATTTTTTAAAGAAATTAAGAAAACTTATAATTTTTAAAGATTTAAACAGAAAAAATCATTTGAAAATACCAAAGAAGGTTCGGGGTTCAATTTACACTTCGAGAAGGGTTTAAGCATTCGAAGTGTCCGCTAACATGCGGATGACCTGCGACTTGACTAAAATGTATTTGACTATTTTTAGAAAGAATAATTTAACGTAAAAAATATATAATAATTTACACTATTCGATTAAGTTTGAAAAATAGCTAAGAAATGAACCATTTTATTTTGATCTCTTTAGAGGAAGAGACCTAAAATGAAAATATTTAATTTAAGGTGCAAGTGATTAGAAAATTAATAAAACTAGACTAATTAGAATTTATTTAGTTCATTTCAGAATATATTAAATCAATTTAATAAATTAAAGTATGAAAAATCATTTTGAATTAATTGACTAACCTTTTTTGAGAAAATAACTAAGCAAGTATTTATTTATTTATTTACACTATTAGATTAACTTTGAGAAAATAGTTGAACAAAGAGCGATTTTATGTAAGAAAAATGTGACCTTAATTGAAATATTTGATTTAGAGACAAGTAATAAAAAATTTAACGAAACTAAATTAGTTGATTTTTCATTTGTGTCATTTTTGGTTTATGAAAAAAACTATTTTAAACTAATAAAAAAAAAATTTAATTTTTTTTTGACTAAAGATTATAAATGAAAATACAAGAGTTGATAAAATAAGTTTTGTTAGAAACAAACAATTCAGATAAATAGTTCGTCTTTTGGGGAATTCAACTAAGTTAATTAAAAATTCTAAAGTTAGAGTTAAACAACGAATAATAAGTAATCGCAATTAAATAATGAAAGAGTAAGGGAGAAATTGAATTTGGGTCTTTCTTGGGCCAAATTCGCTACTTTCTTGGAGTTTAACACAATTCCCGTTTTTGGTATACAGCTGATGTATATCAGTGTATATCGGCATGTATATCAGCCCTTTTTATGTATTTCTTGCTTCCAAACACCTGTATTTCACTCCAGCCCTGTTTTTTATTGCGTTTTTGACCTGTATATAAGTGTATACAGCTGTATACATCTTGTACACAACCTCTTTTTATACTTTTTGAGACTTGTTCGTCGACTTTAAGCTGGTTGACTTGATAAAGGAAAATATTGGGCCTGAGTGGCCCATTTGTAATGCAAAGGGTAGAAGCACAAGTCCCAAAGGACCCCTCGATAGATCACATACATAGAAAAACAAAACAAAAGAAAATACATAAGTATCGTCCATTAACAATTTAATATTGGAGAAACATTCGATGAAATGAACCAACATATTGAGATTTCAAGCGACTCATACTTGCAATAATTTGACTCCTAGCTTAAGCATAATACGGATGGATTTACCTTGCATATGATAATTAATATATGCTGACAATTTAATAAAATGACTACACACTAGTGCAACTATCTAACAAAACATTTCAAACTCATGCTGACAGAAAGCAAATTGGAGTTGTTAAACTTTTGATGAGCAACATTTAAACATCCCTTAAAGTAAGTAAGTGAGGAAATTACACAAAAAGCGAATGCATTAGTCCGATTCTCTTAGCAAGAAAACAATATTATATAAAAGAAGACAAAATACACATGAGGAAGAAAACCACAGCGATGTGAAATGGACAATGAACAAAACACCGACACCTCTCAAGAATTAAACAAAAAGTTGGAACACTACTACCATCCACAAAGGGGCCAACACAATAGAGAAAATCAATAGCAATGGTGGACTTGAACAAATAAACAAGTGACTCCATATTAAGGCAAAGAGGAAATAACATATTTGCAAAATACGAGGATCATACACTATTTAAGTACTTTAATATGAAGACCGAGGCAAATCAATAACAAAGAGATGCTTATAGAAATTATCAAACTATAAATCATCTGATTTGATCAAATCACGAGATGATATTCATTCGAGCATAAAAATCAAATAACTACGCATACTCACTCTAATACAACGTCAAGAGTCTAGAACCCACAAGCCATCAAGATCGATTCATTTATGGGAAACAAACGCCAATAAGATAAAAAATAACAAAAAAATAAAAAAAAACAAAAAAAAAAACCAGAAACTGATCAGCAGGCAAATGCTTAATCTTATGCTAAAAAATTAGCCTACTTATAGTAAAGAAAAAATAATAAAGAAAATGAGAACACAAAAATGAATTCAAACTTATTTCACATACTCAAAAACGTCCAAAACATATAGTAGATGTAACCTGGTGCACTATTCAAGACGTAATAAATCATAAGGATGATAACAAGTGGTAATCGACGAATATGCATTAATTCGAAACCAAGCAACCTTTTATCATACAACAACCATGAGCCAAGCAAAGAACAAAGTCAATCGAGGAAGCAACAAAACAAACTGAAATGAGTTAAAATAAAAAAGGGGGGTTCACCTTTTCGAGGGCAGCGAATCGGGACGGCTACAAGCTCAAAGCGACTTCACCACTCACTTCAAAACTCGAACAATGAAATCAGAATATCCAAATCGATTTTAAACGAAGACCCTTTCAGAACCTAGAACTAAAAATGCATTCCAAATTTCTCAAGTGCAAAAATTAATTGTTCAAGAAAAATTTAAAAGAAAAAAAACCTCCTTTTTACTTGAATGTCAAGGATTATTTATAGGGGAAGTTAGGGCGATTTTAAGGGGAAATCCGTTGGATTTTTGAAAGAAAAATTTGAAATTTTCGTTGCTCCTTTCCGAGACCAACAGTAAAAGGCATGGGAGTCTTTCTCTGCTCTGAGACTCCGCGAAAGAGGGAAAAGGAGACGTGAAGGTGATGGATTAGGTTGCTAGGGTTATGGGTGACGAGATTTCCGGATTTGGATGGATTTTTCTG